TAAAAGCTTAAATTCCACCTGATCATTTTAGCAAAACTCGATTTAATATTTTAGTTTTTAGAGATCTACAACTTAAATTGTTTCTATTTTACATGCATTTCTTATGTGACATTTCTTTTTCTTTTTTTTAATCAAATGTAAAGATTTACAATGGCAGAACAGTGGTGTAGGTGTCTCATAGGATGTCATCATATACAATAATATACAATCGTCCATCGGCTAGTAATTCAAGTCTTTTGTGTAGGGTAAAATTACCAAAAAAATAAATTCATTAGGATTAAAATTAAATGAAAACAGTCTTTCAAGATACATTCTCCAAAAACTCCCTTAGATGATTCCAGATATGCCAGAAAGATTTCTGACACAAGACACAAGTCAGTTTTTCCAAGGGTAAGAAAATGGCAATCTGATTTATCCACCTATTGACTGAAGGAATGTTAGGAGAGGATCACAACAAAATGTAATTTTTTTTAAAGGTTTACCTATAATCTTTTGAATTGGATTTCTTTCCAGTATGTCCTAATCATGTCACAGTCCCAGAATACATGCATCACAGTACCAACATTTGATTTGCACTTAAAACAACACTGAGAAACATTAGGAAGTTACTTATTTAGACGAACTGGCGATAAATAATGAAATTTCTTAACATTTACATCAGTTAAACCAGGAAACAAAGTTTGAATTTTAAAACATCAAAAATGTAAAACTTTACATTTCATTTACAGAACCACTTAACTTAACTTACTTTCTTGCTTATTTGAAATTACCTTTTTAATTACAGTCTTACTTAAAGGATGGTTCGCCCAAGAATGAAAATTCTCTCATTTAATTACCCTTCACTTGTCAAAAACCTGTTTTAGTTTTGTTCAAACCTTTATGAGTTTATGTTTAACAAAAGAAAAAAACTCAAAGATCTTGGGCCTTATCATACACCCGGCGCAATGTGGCACAAGGCGCGACGCAATAGTTGTTTGCTAGTTTCAGCTTGGCGCAATAGTCGCTTTGACATTTTGCGCCACTCTGTTTAAATAGCAAATGCATTTGCGCTCATATGTGCACCCATAGGCGTTCTGATCTACAAAAGCAGGCTTGTTTTGGCGCATTGCTATAAAACTATAATAGATTTTTCAATAGACCAGAACAAAGACAGTCTACTGTTCAGAGCAGAGCGGGTTAGTTGTGCGCCTCGCTCACACACTGCTTAATAAACACAAGATGTAGAGCAATACGCACATATCTTTACATATGAAAAAGAATTAAAATATTAAGGATTTATATATATATATATATATATATATATATATATATATATATATATATATATATATATATATATATCTAAAGGGGGGCCTATCATTCTGACTTCAAATGTATACATGTTTAATTATTTTTAGACTGTATATAATTAAAGTTAAGTATGTATACACATTATTTCCATCTCTTAAGCTTTTGAAACATCTAATTTAAGAACATTATATCTGTGAACATAATACATGCACTTTCTGAAAAGATGTTCAACCAACAAATATAACAAACAAATATAGACAACACATATTATTTAAATACACATAAGAGATAGTAATTGTTCTAATAAAACACTTAGGCAATCACCCAGCCTGCCATAACAAGATAAATGATTTAAAAGCTAAACATATTCACTGAAAGGAGAAGACGAGACAAAAGAGAGAGAATTAACTATTCAAACCGACCTTTAGTGTCCCGCTCGACCTCTCCTGTCATGGACTTGAGTGAAATAAATTAAGAAACCGACAAGTGAAAATAATCCACAGAGAAGGACAACGTATTCCTCAAAATGTTTCCTCTCGACCTCTGCTCGTAGTGATGAGGCATAATTGTGCACATCCACGTTTTTTCGCAGAGTTTGTGTCCGGAGAAACTGTGGCTTTGAGGCGCGTCGCGCGCGCGCTGCTTCCCTCTGGAGACGCGCTTTACTCTAAACGCAGGAGCCCGTGCCAAACTCAAGTCCCATAAACACATCAGAGCTCTGAACCCCCGAGGTGTCAAATTCCAGCTCCATCACATGATACACTACAAGCGAGCGACGAGACGCGCAAACTCCTGCCGTCCCATCATAATCCACGACGCGTTTAAGCGCAAGTGAGCGCGCCTCGCTTCGCTGATTATAATGCGCGCGCTCTAATTTGTCAATTGGCAGTCGACGTCACAAGTCGGTCTCTGGCAGCAGTGCAGCTTTGTTGATTGTTTGATTATTAATTTAATGATTAAATATGGGAAATACAACGTACACAAACAAAAGTGGTCCAGTTATAAACTTAACATTTCTTTGAAATTTCTCGTTTGAAACTGAGCATCATATTGAAAGCATCTTAAAAGCTTTAAGGATGTATGCAATTTTGGAATCCTTATTTCTAATATTTTTAGTTGTTTTTTTTCCTTTCTATGTGTTTGTTCCATTTATGTTAATGTGAAAACAGTTGTAAGTATTGCATTCCTCTACTTTTGCATGCTATTGTTCTTGTTATGCAAAAAAAAAAAAAAAGCAGCTTGGTTAATTAAATTTATAAAAACTGAACATTTTGTTTATATGCAATGTTTTTATACTCCTTTTTTTATAAATAAATGTTACCATTCAAAGAAGTTTTGGGTGATATCTTTGCATGTTCAAGTAAAAACAGATTATAGTTATAATTTGACCTCAAATGATCAAATGAATTACTGAGGAATTTATATTAAATCTTAAAATTAAATGTATTGTATAATTAAATGTATAAATAGTATAAATGTATAAATAAATGTATAATTCTTAACCTTGTTTAAAGTTTTATAGTCGATTTTAATTTATATATGGACTCTCTTCAGTGTAATAATAGCAATAAATGTAAAGCTGTTGAAGATTAAACGTTAATTAAATAGTGAACTTGCTGTCTATTACGGTATTCAATATATGCTGTTTTGCATATAGTGACATTTTGGACACATTTAAGTTGATTCTAAATATTTTTGGCATGTTATATCTAAATGTAAATTATAAACTTGAAAATGTATTTATTAAATGGAATCTTTTATTTTGGATATCTTGTTAGAATTGCTAATACATTATTTTATTCTAATTACAACAAACAAACAAACAAACCTGGCCTCCCTCCATTATCAAAAATGTTATTCTATTCTATAGGTTTACATAGTATATGCACATTACAGTTTCAAAATAATATGTTAGATAATAATAATAATAATAATAATAATAATAATAATAATAATAATTATTATTATTATAACAATAATAATAATAACAATTATTATTATTATTATTATTAGTAGTAGTAGTAGTAGTAGTAGTAGTAGTATAATGATAATAATAATGATATAATATATAATAATAATAATAATACATGAAATTATTATTATTGTTATTATTATAATAATAACAATAATAATTACAATACTACTACTACTAACTAAATTGCAATGCGCTACAAAAAAATTAAAGAAAATCAGTGACATTTCAATTGAACAACTAGATATTAAAGTTTGAGGACAAACTTTATGGTGGCTTGAAAAGCCAAGTCTGAAAGTTTGAAGTGGTTTTAAAGTGTAAATAGCATGTTAGTATGATTCTAGCTTGAATTAGCATGTTACTAGCATGATTCTAGCAGGAATTAGCATGTTACTAGCATGATTCTAGCACAAATTAGCATGTTACTAGCATGATTCTAGCATGAATTAGCATGTTACTAGCATGAAGTAGCATGTTGTTAGCATGATTCTAACATAAATTAGCACGTTACTAGCATGATTCTAGCATGAATTAACGTGATTGTAGCATGAATTAGCATGTTACTAGCATGACTCTAGCATGAATTAACATGATTGTAGCATGAATTAGCATGTTACTAGCATAATTCTAGCATGAATTAGCATGATTCTAGCATGAATTAGCGTGTTAATAGCATGATTCTAGCATGAATTAGCATGTTGTTAGCATGATTGTAGCATAAATTAGCATGTTACTAGCATGGTTAGCATTAGTCTTCAATTAGCCTTAAATATAAAGATTACACAAAGCTCTCAGATTTCATATCCATTTATTTCCACCCCAAAATAAATCGGCTATATTTCAGTTTGGCACATTGTAATAGCAACATTACGCAGCCAAATTGCAATGCAATGCTACAAAAAAATGAAAGAAAATCAGTGACATTTTAATTGAATAACGAGACATTTTGATTGTGAGGTCAAATACCAACACCTTTTCTGGCTCAATCAGACACTGCCTTCTTATCAGCGACTGCATCACTTCACGGCTCCTACAAAAAAATCAGCGCTCTAGATCTCAACACTAGATCTGACAGGTAAGCAAACAACACGCTTTCCCACAATGCAAAGTGCTGATTTTCTGAGCGGCTGTGTTTATCAAGATTGGCCGCAGCTCAGGCCGTTTCTGAGCTGATCTCAGACGCTGCGAAGCAAATGCCCACGCCATCTGAAACAGACAGAGAAAGAGGATTAAAATACCTTCCTCAGGCAGTGCGGGTGGAGATTGACCTGATCAAAAAGCTGTGTCAGGGTGTAAGTGAGGTGCTGAGGCTTACAGATCTACTGCAGGTGTACATCTATGAAGCGGTGATTGGGGAACTACTACAACAACAACAACTCGACATTCAAAAACATTCATTGGATTTACTCAGTTTTATAAAGGTAAGTGGTTGCAAACAGTTTATAAGGGCTGAATATAGACCTTTTTCATGGCTGCTGTATGGAGGGCGCCATAGCGACCAGCGTCTTCCAGTAGAATGCTAAAAACTTCCGTTTACAGCGTGTTCAACTGGTAATTTACGCTCCGAAAATGGGTTTCAGTATAGTTTTTAATGGATAACCGAGTGTTTTTGTGACACACAACTTAGAAATGTGTCTGTGAAAGCCGTTATAATCTGTCACATGTGGTTCAAGCGCGTCAGAAATACGAGAAAAACGTTCTCCTAGTTCACGTGTCTGCCGTCAGAAATACAGTGTGTGTGCGTTCCCGCCCTGTTAGCTGTTAGCTCAGAGGCTCTTTAACACACACACACACACACACACACATACACAAAGAGAGAGAGAGAGAGACAGAGAGAGAGAGAGAGAGAGAGAGAGAGAGAGAGAGAGAGAGAGAGAGAGAGAGAGAGAGAGAGAGAGAGCAAACCAGAGTACTGGCATGAAACTTAACAGGTATGAAAGTCGTGCAATTTACAAAAATGAGCAATAAAAGTCTGTTATTGATCCTCTGCTGGCTGATTTGCTGTTCATTCTAATCGTGAGCCGTTTGTGTTTTATTTCGTGTGTTGTTTTCACCACGGTTTGTGTTTTTTCTGTCATTTGGAAATGACACTAGCCTATATTTTCACTTTGTCACAGTTATTAAATCAGTGTGTCAGTGGCACAGTACAGGCTATGTGTGTGTGTCAGACATTTTGGTGAATAACATGTGTTCGGGCTGGTTATATATTTGAAATAAAGAGAAAATGTTGACTTTAGCGATGACGAGGCTTCATTTAAACTGCAGAAGATGCCGTCTGACAACGAGGGGGAAAACGCCTCACAGCAGCTGTTTTCCATCTTATTAGATCGCATTTCTTTAAATGATCAGTCCAGGAGATGCTGCTGATGGACAACAGTATTAGTTCAAAGAGGATAAAAGCAGGTAAAATAGATTAAAACTATCGTTTCAAAGCTGCCCAAATGTGACTGTTTACACGCATCAGCTGCCGACCGGAAGTTCTTCACATTCTCCTTGCGCATACACGCAAAGCATCATGGGTAATTTTGCGTTCCAAGAAAAAGGTCTATAAACCAACAAATTAAACTGAGGGATGTTCAACTTAATTTGTTTGTTGAAATTCAGCCCATTAAAATTGTCTGCAACCACGTACCTTATTTGGTTATTTATATTAATTCATTCATTTTCTTTTCAGCGTAGTCCCTTTATTAATCTGGGGTTGCCCCAGCGGAATGAACCACCAACTTATCCAGCATATGTTTTACACAATGCCCTTCTAGCTGCAACCCATCACTAGGAAACGTCTATACACACTTATTCACACACATACACTATGGACAATTTAGCCTGCCCAATTCACCTGTACCACATGTGTTTGGACTGTGGGGGAAACCGGAGCACCCTTATGCCTAGTTCAGACTGTGTGATTTTAGCCCCGATTTTGGCTCGCCGACAGGTTTTGAGAATCCCACAATCCCACCTCTAAACCCAACCATCATTGAGGGTTTACCAAATTGTACTAAATTGTAAGAATGAGATTGTACGAATACGAGTTTGCCACTAAATCAAAAAGTTACGAATTGCCGTGAGATTGTGTTGGATAATCGAATGAAAAGCACAACAAAGAGCAGTAACTCAAGTCTCTTTAAACAAAAAGCAGCAGCGTTTGTTTCACCCTGCACGTTCCCAAGTGCAGTCTCTAACAATAAAACAGGCCATGACAACGGACTAATGACGAATATGATTTGATTTCAGTACTCATTTACTCCAGTCGACTTCTGTCAAAGTGATATATATTCAAGGATACGCTCTTCAGCTGCGCAAACAAAGCACTTCGCTTGTAACATCTTACAGAGTGAGGGAAATTCGGTCCCCGTAGTGCGATCACAGATGACCTGCGTCCAGACAGATGTGATGGAGTTCGCTCAGGAAGCCAGACTGCGTGTTTTCACAATCCCTGGTACACAAAGTTCCCCTGAAAAAAAAGAAAAACCGGTCAGTCTGGATAACATCAAACTAATTAAAACAAAAAGCGTGCTGTTTTTCCACAAGTAGTGCCTTAGATTTGGTATATTTTGATAAAGTGTGCCAGCATTGGGAGCCAGAATGTTACACTCTTTTTACTCCTGTGACCTGATATTTAATCAGGGCAATGAAAGAATAATTTACATTAATAAATGGCTGTGGAAATAAATAGCATATGAGACATGCCTCGTCTGAGCCAGTGTGAAATTGCACATGCTGACCAACGCCATCAATCTAAAGCTCGCCCTTGCAACACAACAGAAATGCATACAGGGGTGAGCGGTTGATCCTTTAGACCAGGGTTCACCAATCTCGGTCCTGGAGGGCCGGTGTCCTTTCAGGGTTTAGCTCCAACTTACCTCAACACACCTGCCTGGATGTTTTAAGAATACATAGTAAGAGCTTGATTAGCTTGTTCAGGTGTGTTTGATTAGGGTTGGAGCTCCGGCCCTCCAGGAACAAGTTTGGTGACCCCTGCTTTAGACAGTTTATCGATAATGAAGACAGTCGCTTGGTCACATGATGTAGAACTTTCACTACATCAGTTTATTTAACAAATGCATTTCCATCTTGAATTTTTCACATTAACCAAAACCAAGTCCACAACCACCTTAAGCAATCATAAAAACTGCTTTTTTATTTTATTAAATAATGTTTTTTTTTTTTTATTAAAAATTTGGCATTTCCATCAATCGTTTTCAATCAATCATCTCTGGGAAACATCTCTGTACCACATGTCTTTAGGGGAAACCAGAGTACGCGGAGGAAACCCACACGAAACGCAGGGAGAACATGCAAACTCCACACAGAAACACCAACTAAGCCGAGGATCGAACCAGCGACCTTCTTGCTGTGTGGTGAACGTGCTTCCCACTGTGCCTTTGCGTCGCTTTAAGCAATCATAAAACCTGTTTTTTTTAATTAAACATTTGGCATTTCCATCAACCGTTTTCAATCAATTTAACAAAATGTAACAATTTTCCAGAATGATATGTTACAACATTAAAATGAAAACACTGAAATAATGAAATGGCAGCCACAATGTCCTAAACTAAACCTGATTGAAAATCTCTGGAAAATCCTTGCTGATAAAGTTCTGGCTAGCAAACAAAGTCGTCAAAAACTGAAGAAGAGATGAAGATCAAAATTCCAGACTAACCTTTGTTAAGGAACATGTTGAGGACAGAGAACTGCTCAAAAATGTATTTTTGCCAGTGCTTTGACTAAAATCTGCATTGGGTGAGAGGCACATTTTTAAATTTAAAGATAAATGAGTATTTTACATCAACATGTGCACTAACACAAAGCAATGCAAACACAGGTGTTAAACAAAATCTAACAATTTTCCAAAGTGAGAAAGTACAACATTAAAATTAAAACATTAAAATAATGAAACGGCAGCCCCGATGTCCTGAACTAAACCTGATTGAAAATCTATGGAAAATCCTTGTGGATAAAGTTCTGGCTAGCAAACAACATGCAATCAATGAAGTATGGAAAAAAACTGAAGAAGAGATGATCTAACTTTTGCTAAGGAACATTTTGAGGACAGAAATCTCATCCAAAGTTTATTTTTACCAATACACTGACTGAAATCTGCACTGAGTGAGTGGAATGTGCACTAACACAAAGCAATGCAAACACAGGTGTTAAACAAAATCTAACAATTTTCCAAAGTGAGAAGGCACAACATTAAAATTAAAACATTAAAATAATGAAATGGCAGCCCCAATGTCCTGAACTAAACCCGAATGAAAATTTCTGGAAAATTCTTGTTGATGACCTTTGACTAATCTTTGCTACGAAGCAAGATTAATTTTAAGAATAATTTGAGTCTGATGGGAAACCACACGAATGTTTGTCATTAATCCTGAAGAGAAATTGTATGTTCCCTGAAGGTGAAAACATTAAAATAATGAAATGGCAGACTCAATGTCCTGAACTAAACCCGAATGAAAATTTCTGGAAATCCTTGTGGATAAAGTTCTGGCTAGCAAACAAAGTGAGGTCAAGTGGAGTGTGGAAAAACTGAAGAGATCATCTAACTTGAACAAAGATATCATCCAAAGATGAATTTTTTACTAATACATTTACTAAATTCTGTATTGTATGAACAGCACATCTTTAAATTTACAGATAAATTTCTGTTTTCATTAAAATGTGCACTAACACAAAGTAATGGAAACCCAGCTATTAAACAAAATGTAACAATTTTTCTAGAATTAAAAGTTACATCATTACAGTTAAAAAAAATTGAAAAAATGAAATGGCAGCCCCAATGTCCTGAACTAAACCCGATTGAAAATCTCAGGAAAATCTTTGTTGATAAAGTTCTGGCTAGCAAGAAAGTACAGTTAGCAATGTGTCCAAAATAAAATAACAAAAAAATGATCTAACATTTGCTAAGGAACATGTTGAGGACAGATCTGCTCCAAAGATTTCTTTTTTTTTTTTTTTTTTTACCAATAAATTGACTAAATTCTGCATTGTAAACCCTACAGATAAATTTCTGTTTCTGTCAAAATGTGCAGTAAAACAAAGTGACAGAAACCCAGCTCTTGAACAAAATTTTACACTTTTCCTAGAATGAGAAGTTACAACATTAGAGTTAAAACATTGAATAATGAAATGGCAGCCCCGATGTCCTGAACTAAACCCGATTAAAAATCTCTGGAAAATCCTTGCTGATAAAGTTCCGGCTAGCAAACAACGTACAATCAGCGAAGTGAGGAAAAAGGAGAGAGATCTGCTCCACAGTTTATACCAATAAACTGATTCATTGTGTAAGCGGCACATTTTTTAATTTAGACAAAGTAATGTTTTACAGCAATTTATCGGTATTACAGTCTGAATGGAGCTATTGCTACCTGTCTATTTAAAACACTATATTGTATAAAGAGCTATGTTAATAAATGTGACTTAACGACAAAGGCACTGAGGGTGGCATGTATGACAGGGCATGTGTCTGTGACCCCGAGCCTGACCGTTGACCTGAATCGCTCTTTCCTTCATGTGTGTCCAGAAGTCCCACTGAGACTTTCGATCTGAGGTCTATTGTGAGGAAGATCTTGAGCAGAACGAGGAAACAATGGAGCCGAGGGTCTGTGATCTGTGATCTTCACATACATTTGGGTGGTCAGAGCAGGTCCGGGACTTCAGGATCAGACTCCTGTGGCTCAGGTCATCTGCTTAATCAGTTGAAGCCTGTGGAAATTCACAAGGCAAAAGTTTGCATTGTCATCCTGGTTCTGTTATTGAAGTAACAGCAGAGATTTGTTTGTTTATTTATTGCCACATCAGCAACTTGGCTATTTCATTGGAAGATCAATCTACATAAAAACCTTCCATGATAAGAACAACTTTATATTTCAATAAGAGATAAGCAAATATATGAATATAAATAAAGTATATTAAATGATAAATATGATTTTTTCAATGCAATATTTGATGAACAACTTTAAATTTTTAATAGTGATTATAAAAATCTTGTCTTCACATTCTAATAAAATATGCTTTGTAAAATAAGCTATGATGAGAGCAACATTGGACTTGAGGAATCATTCAAGCTGACACACTGTTAATGGTTTGATCCAGTATTATATCGTACCACTGAAATACTCATATTTAATATTGTTTTAATTTCAATTAAAGGTTAAGCCATTTTGTTATATATTTGTTTTATAGTTTACTAAACCATTAAATGAATTTTATATTAAAGCTTTGTTTATTTTCTAACTGTTTCAGTTTTAATGGTTTGATCCAGTAATATATTAGTATAAGTGAATACTATTATTTATATGCATATTAAATACTTTTTCATTTCAGGTAAATTTGCAGTCGTTTTTGTATGAATTATTAAATAATTAAATGCATCTTATATTAAATCCTTACATTTATTTTTATAACTTTTTTTGTCATTTAAAACATTTGTTTCAGTTTTAATGGTTTGACACAGTTATATTAGTATAATTTAAATATAATTGTTTTAATTTCAGTTAAAGTTTTAGTCATTTTTGTTGTGTTTTATCATTTATTAAATGTATTTTATATTGCAGCTATACTTTTATTTTATATATATATATATATATATATATATATATATATATATATATATATATATATATATATATATATATATATAAAAAAATAAAAAAAAAAAAAATAAAAAAAAAAAAAAATAAGAATCAAACTCACAGACACACACACACACACATATTTTGTTTGTTTATATCTCTGTGTGTATGAATATATATATGTATATATATATATATATAGACAGATATATACATATATATATAGATAGATGTAGATATATATATATATATATATATATATATATATATATGCACGCACACACGCATATGTGCGTGTGTGAAGTGATGTATATATATATATATATATATATATATATATATATATATATATATATATATAT